CGAAGAAATGATACTCTTGGGAATGACACGTGGTCTTGAGAATAAGATTGTTTGTTTGAGTTGTATCCATATTCATGTATCTTCTCAWGCGCAACCGATAAACGAAGAAATGATACTCTAGGGAATGACACGTGTCTTGAATTGGGGAAACACATGAATGCAAGTCAAACAAATATTGTTATTCTCAAGTGAATACCACATGGCCTGAAATGGGAAAACATACGTCCGAGCCGAGGAGGTCAATATACCTCAATAGACCTCCTCGACTCGGGCGTAATGTTGTCCCATTTTAGACCACGTGTCATTCCCAAGAGCATCCTATCTTTGTTTAACGGTTGCGCTCGGTTGCACATGAGAAGACACGGACGTGGATACAACTCAAACAAAGAATCGCATTCTCAAGGGAATGACGCGTGGTCTGAAATGGGAAAACATACGTCCGAGCCGAGGAGGTCAATTACACAGAGCGAAGGTGGTTACTCACTTTTGTTCTCCAGGGCAGTCCCAGTCATTTTCCTTCGCAGTTCGTCCTGGCTTCTTAGCAGAATCACCACATGAAATGTAATTGAGTGGAACCTCGCCACCAGGTGATAGACATGTTGCCTGGGCTGGAGGACACTTTCCTTGCTTTTCTACATAATTAAGAAAATGCCACATTAAGAATGACCACCATTTGTAAATAAGCTACTACCCCTTCCTCTGAGGAGCTATTAGGTAGGGGAGGGGACCTATGTCCTCCGTCTGAATTCCACAACTGCCTATGTCACAGTTTYGGGAAGTTCTTATTTCGCTGTTTTACCCCAGCAGTTTGTCGTTCGTCGCTAGTATAGTTCGTGGCTTACGTACCGCCGTTATAAGGCCATGTCGCTTGTCGAAATAAATTTATGCACTGCCTCTAAGAGTGCCTTAACTCTTTACATCTCTTTCCCTCGCTCAATATCAAATCTAAAATAGCAAGTCTGGTGCATAACGAAATGCTTTAAAAGTTTTGCATGGTCATGTGCGGAAGCCCTGTTCGATGGAAGAACAATAGAATCCCTTCACTCTGGGAAACTTACCATGTAAAACAGGTCATGTTACTCTACAACTTGAAACGAGCAGTTGTATAAAAGACCATCGCGATATTAGCAAGGAGCACAAAATATCAAGTTATAACATGTGACATAAATGAAATGGCATAAAAATATAAAATAGATTTATATGGGAAAATGAACTTCCAATAACATATTTAATAATAATATTAATAATAATAATAATAATTTTTTAATACTACTACTAATAATAATAATTTTTATTTTTCATTTTTTCCCTTTTAATGATAATAATAAACAATAATAATAATAATAATAATAATAATACCATTTGGATGTTTCCTACCTTTACATAGCTCTCGTCTGATGTTTTGCACTAATCCTGGGAGTTCAGCCGCTGAAGGAGCTTTGAATTTTAAGTTGGTAGCTGCAGCCAGATCATCGGCAAAAGYATCGTCCACACCACCACTCGTTGCTACACTGACCATATTAACCTTGAGTTTTTTAAGCCCTTTCGATGCTTCGCTGAGTTTCCCAGAAGCTGCAGAGTTTCCTCCCGAGGAGATGAAAATGGCGTATCGTGGATGACCTTGTCTCATTCCTCCTTCAAGGCTGAAAAGGTCTTTTTCGATGCCACCCACGGCAAGGTCAACTCGCGCGTCTTTACTAGGAGAGGCAGATATGCCATCGATCAATTTGGACATTCCTTCTTGTGAGACATACTCACGGAAATTAGTGAGTGTTTTAGTTGTGTCGGCGTAAGTTAGAAGACTGAAGTGGATTGAGTTTTCTGAATCGGCGATGGAAGCCACAAGATCTTTGGTGAAGGCTTTGACCGCTGGTAAGTCAGCAGCGCTTACGGTAGTGTCCACAGCCAACGCGATGTCCATGTTTACGAAGCAATCTAAAATCAAATCACAAAATATTGCAATAAAGAACTTATTTTAAATGACCATCCGTTAAAAGGCTAACCTCTATTGAGCGACCAAGCGACCTTTACTAAGCGGTCAACCTCTATTTAGCAGCTACGTAGCTTCTACTAAGTGTCCAAGCGGACAGCCAAGAAATTTAAAAATCCAGAAATTCAAAAAATATTCCCAAATATTTGTTGTAGAAGGCCGCCACAAACAGAGCTTGGGCTACCCCTTTGGTTGCAGATACTTCGCTTTTGTGAGCGATATGGACAGCAACAAAGATAACATCAAGCAATGTTAGACATATTGTCATATTGACATGTTACACTGATTCACAACATACCATGTCACGCAACAACTAAAAAATAAAACCAACTTGACTCTTTATCGTCACGCAATCCTACAAAAACAGAGCTAGGAAACAGTGCTCCTGAAAAGCCACAAAAAAAAAAGACCTTACTTTCAATTCCTTTGATGCAGCTTGTTACTCCTGGGCAGCCTGTACCACAACAAGCTGATCCTGGAGCACAATCAGCGTCAAGCTCACAGTCGGATTCATCGTCAACTGGGCACTCTGCTGGTGGTACTATTATGGGACACTTGGGGTACTTTCCTGTAACAGCAAATAAAATGTTGATCACTATTGCCGCAATGTCTTTGTTTGATCCTATTAATCTCTTGAGAATGGTTGCATGATAACCCCTCAATTAACCTGTACATCTTCGTTAGAAAACCTTAATATCTAAATTTCCAGTTCTCCGTTAAGGTGACTGCCTACTTTTGAACGTTCGATTTGAGCCCACGATGTGCGCGCGCTCAAAAACCGCTGAAAAATCTACAAGATTTTATTGAAGAACCATACGCGTTTTGAGCTTCAACAGGGCAAAACCCTCAAATTTTGCACGGGACTCTCTATTTTTTAATAGCTCATTCGAAAAAACTAGTAAAATTCTAGGTTATATCAACATCTTAGGAAAAGTTTAAATCAGGAACACGTGAAAAAATAGATTTTTGTAGGGATTTTTGTTCGACATTATGAGATTTTTTAAGAGCACTGAAGCTACAAAATATGACAAATCAATGTATCTCTTTGTCTTTTTGTCGAAAATATCCATGTATTATTGTAGAATGATTGACTAGCCTTCATTCGTGCAATCATATAGTCTGCAAATAACTATTATCTTATGAATCTAAATTTTTTTCTAATCACTTCCGGTGGCGCAATTTTTACTCCAAAAGCTCGTGCGTAGGCTCCCATTAAATGCTGATTATCTCGAAAACGAGCTCGGGACACCCTGTTTTTCTTTCCAGATTTGGAATCAGCATTAAATTTCAATTCGGAAAATCGAAGTTTAAAAAAATGTTTGAATCAATTTCCAAAAGTAGGCAGTCACCTTAAGGCGGGAGCCTTTGCCCAATCTTCAGCTCCGGCTCCGTCACTAATTGCTGGATTTTATTAGAAGTAATTTCCCGTCTCATGTAGGATTTTATCAGTTGAATCAAAAGTGTTTAATAGAAGTCTTTTGACAGCACTTGGTGGCTGACAGCACATGTTTGACCAACATTCGGAGCAGATAATGGAATTAAAGGACTTTTATAAGCTGTATAACTTACATATACATACATATCACGTCTACACTGTATATTGCGTGCCCACGGTCATGGTAGAAGGCAGCACAATARAATCCCCTTGCTCTCGGGAATTGAATTCTTTCTCATGCAAAACGACTGTATTGTTCCTGCCATCTAACATGGCTGCCGTCACGTGATGGTGCAAAACCTCTCTACCACCAACCCTCCCTTACCTCTACATATCGTCCTAGAGTTTCTCTCAGTAGAAGATATCATGTCATCATAGTTGCCTACAGTCAGATACTTCCTTGCAGGTTGAGTAACGAATCGCCTCAGGGATTGTACGTTTGTCTTTTCGCCTCCCAACACCAACATCATTAGTTTTATTCCCATGGATTTAATCTTCTTGGCAGCATCTTCCACAGCCTGTTCTTGCTCGGGTGGTATATCTCCTGGGACTACTAGGACAAAGGTCTTGGGTGCAGTAGGCCGTGTTCCACCATAGACAGTAAAACCATGGTCCGCAGCAACGTTCATAGCTTTAGCGACGTCATATCCGGTTCCTCTTAGCTCCAGTTCGCCAAGATAGTCATCGATCTCACTGGGACTATACATTGCATCAATGGGCTTTTCGAGGGCTGCTGAATCACTGTATGGTAGCATACCGATGTGAACAGCTCGATTATTGATCATAAATCGTCGAGTCAAACTTCTTAACATCGTCTGGATCTCTCCCAGGCCACCCCGAGTGACTTGAGTACCCAMAGGGATACCATAAATAATATCCAGCGGTAGATCACAAACTATCAAAAAGATATATTAACATATAGTACATTAGTTTCATTTGCAACTAGGAGAGAAATACACCCTTTATTCAGGTGCAAATCCAGGGAGGGGAACCCACGGGACATAGACCCCTCCTCCCCCACTCAGAACGTTGGTTATGTATCTTGAAGTGTCATAGAAAGCATATTTTTGAATATTTTTTCCAAGTTCTGCAGTCATTCGCAACATTCGGTCAAGCCCCTGTTATTAAGATTGGCATATCATAACAAAGGCTGATCCCGGTAATCCCCCATTGGAGTTGAAAAATAACAAGAATAAAAAATAAGGTAAAACCAAAAAAGTTCGCTATTTGATGCCTTTCTAGGTAACAGTCATCCCCCTTTGAAATCGCTCTGTAGCTGCCATTATTTTTTATATGATCGATGGACCCAATCAACCTGGCCTCAAGTCACTCTCTTGATAATAAGATTATTTGTATGAGTTGTCTTTTGGTGCGCAATCGTTAAACAAAGAAATAATACTCCAGGGAATGACACGTGGTCAGAAATAAGAAAACAATGGGTTATATAGCTGTATTACTTTTACCTTTAGGTTTTTCAGCGCCTTCACAGATCCTATTCGWCACTGCTCGTAAATCAGGTTTTAGTGCATCGTAGGTCGAGGTCATGAAGCCAGTCTTGTGGTGGAGCCTGGAAGCGACGTTACGTATGGAAGGAATGTCTTCGTTCCCACCAATAGCCATAAAGTAGACATCCACGTTGTTTTGAATCAGGAGACTGGCGTAACGAGCTGCATTTTTGGGGTTGGTGAATTTTCCCTGACTAATGATAAGTAAGGACTGAAAATTCAACAAAAATCTCACGTTAACCTTTGAAATTATAGCTACGAATGGTTAGACTTTCAAGTGGCTCGGATGACCACTTTAAATGGCGGTCCCGTCTCTCCACACTCATCATTACTAACCAATACCGGAGGGACGTAAAAGAACAACTAGTGAGAACGTAAAGAAACCCTGGCAGTGACCACCCTCAGTGCCTACACCTCATCTTAACCACCTCTCATTCATAACCCATTGTAAAGCGCCTTTGAGCATATCCGTATGGAAAACAGCGCTATATAAAATCATAATCATAAGCTACACATAACAGAAACAGGGACGGCGGAGCCATTTTTTGATTGGGGGGCTCAATAGTGACATGGTGGGGGGGGGGGGGGGGGGGGGGGCTGAGTTTAGTGAAAATGTATTAGAATTTCACAGAAAGTGGGGGGCTGAAGCCACCCCAGCTCCCCCGGTTCCGCCGTCCCTGAGAAAGAAGTCGAAAAAGACGTGTAGATGTGGAAATCCACTRACGAACTGAGCTCCTACGGTTTATAATGTATTCAGGTCCCAATTTTTATGACTTCCTTACCTTATTAACTCCCCTTTCACGGGCTCCACCGTCAACTTTATAAACCTCACCGTAGGCCGTTTGAAGAGCTCTTGATGTGGACGATGGTCCCCCTCCAGGGAATTGAATCCTGTCAATCGCCAAGTTTAGTTTTTGTTTGGTTGGGCTGCGGATAGTGTTAAACTTAAAATCAAGTTTGGGTTTCTCGCCATACGAGACGACAGAGACATGAGTTTGACCTTGACGGATGTTAAAGCCGTTAATAAGCTGCTTGACAAAGGTTTTCACTTTGTTGAAGCCAGTCTTGCCGACTTCATCGTTGCCCTCGATGAGAATAGCCAGATCATGTTTTCCCTTGCATTCTGGTGGAACAATAGCACATCAATGTTATCTTACAATGAAATAAAAAACACTTTTAAAGATAACTTCTGAGTCGTCCACCTAAAATCCGGGCACGGATATCTCACAAATAGAATCGAAATTCAACCGTCAAGTGATAGGTTTGGCGGAGGGAGGAAATTAAAAAAAAACAAAATAACAAAATTTCCAGCAAGTTCTTTCTTTTTGGACATCCAAAGGGAAATCCGAGTTCTTTAACGAAGAAAAGAATAACAATCAAGAGAAAGCTCAGTATAAATATGAGAAAATTACGCCCAAACTAATTTTGTTTTAGTCCATGTGTTCTGTCAAATGTTATCGGTGAAGAAAAGGAAAAACAAGAACGCCACGTTCACCTTTCATACATTCCTATCACTAAGTTTAATGAACCCCTTACATGTGACGTCAAAGCAGCTCAATTCGAAGGACAAAACAATAGAATTTAATGGAATGAGATTGGAAATTTATTGTTATGTCCTCCAAATTGAGCTGCAAATCGACGGACTGCAAGGGGTCTATAGTAGAACGGTTGCCGACCTCTATTAAGCAAAGCGATCAATTGACAATTTCCCAAAGATGATCGCTCAATARAAGTTCATAGTTCAATTGCAGATCAGAACTTTTATAAAGTGGTTATTTCTGCGATCGACCTCTATTAAGCGATCACTTGATAATGGACCACTTCGACAATATAGCGGCCAACTTGGATCGCATGGCATTATGGGGAGTCCAGGGTTTAAATCAAAACAAAGATGGCGGATAGAGTTTTGTGTGTTTATCTTTCCTTCATGGGTAAAGGTAAAAGATGTGCCATCTTTGACTATAATAATGGCAGGCGATATAAAGAAAAATATATCATCAAGCCTTGGGAAAACCTACATAGCACTCAGTTGATGTAATGTATTTAAAAGATATATCGTATTTTGTTGTCGTTCTATCCATTGTATTAGGTGTAATTCATTGTACTTTTATGAACACATTACATCAACAGCTTGCTACGTAGGCTCTCTCATCAAGCCTTACATTAGTTCTATATTTGTCCCCTGGACGCCCCATGATGCCCTGCGATCAAAGATGGCCGCCGTATAGTCGAAGTAGTCTATTCCCCAAAATGGCCGGTAAATATAAGTCCATGTTTAGTTCAACTTCGGAGTAGCACCTACCCAGTGGTGGTTCCAAACAGACTGAATGACACCCAGATTCAGGATCTTTACAGCATTTTTGTTCTCCAGGACAAGGCCAGTCAGAATTCTGAGTTTGTCCCGCAGAAGTCCCGCAAGGAATGTATCTTGGTGGTACCACATCTCCACATCTTCCGATAGGCGCAGCCGCAGGTGGACACTTGCCTGGTTTAGCTGTAGAATGGGAAAATATTCAAACCATTGAAGTAAAGAAAAGAAATATAAAGTTGACTTAAAATGGGGATGAAGAAGGTTTAACAAGGATTTTGGTGAAGGAAAACTGTTGTAATCGTTCTTGCTTTACGAGAGTAGTAAATAATAGCCAGTGGCTAACAAACCTGTGGCCCTCGTACCATGATCAACTTGGAATTTAGAGTTGATTTTTTTACGGCGGAAAAAAGCCGGAAAACCGAGAAAAAAACCTCAAAGGGCAGGAAATGACCAATAAGTATCTCTACTCACATATGCGGGCGAGAGATGGAACATTAGCATCGCACACGCACACCAACTGCTCCCCCMAAAAACACTATGATAATAATAATAATTTTTACTACTTACGTCTGCAAAATGCCCTTACAACTTGGTCCCTAATTCTGCTCAAGTCTGCCGGAGAATTAGCCTTGAAAAACAGGTTATTTGTTGATATGCTCTGTAGTAAACCATCCTGTACTGCTTGATTCGTACCGATTGCCATGACTCTCATTCCATCAAGTTCCTTGACCGTCTGAGCGGATTTTGTAAACTCTGCCATAGGTAGCCCACCCGTGATAAATACGACCAATCTTGGATGACCCTGTCTCATACCTCCCTCCAAACTAAAATGATCTTTCCGGATGGAGGAGAAGGCAACGTTCAAGTTTCGACCGACTTCGGCCGAAGCCTTAATACCAGATAATAGCCCCAGTAGCTCTTTCTCGGGTTTTCGGTCGCGGAATCGGGCTAGAGTCTGTGCCGTTTCACCGTACGTCATGAGAGATATTCTAATGCTGTTTTCGGAGGCTGCTAGTGGTCGAATGATGCTACTAACGAAATTCTTTACCGCGTTGAGCTCGCCACCTGCTACACCTTGCGATGTGTCAATGGCGATCGTTACCTCCATRTTCACGAAACAATCTAAAAATCAAAAAAAAATCAGTGTTTCTCCTTCCTGGAGTTTTTTTCCCGCCAAAATCAGGGGTGCTTACCATTTAAACCACCCGGTTGGAAATTTATTGGTCAATGGTAATAAAAGAGCAGAAAACTTTGACTTATGAAAATGGTACACATGTCTACCGAAAGAAGCGAAAAGAGCGGGAAAAGAGGATTACATCAATCGGAAGACCTAGGTTTCCGGAACCTTCCGATCGCGGAACGATTGAGGTTTTTCCGGGTAAACAATAAGYACCCCAGGTTTATTTCTTATGTCGCTCCAGAACGCCTACAACAGATTTTAATTTTGAACCCAATTTAGACTCGTTAGCTTTAAAAAAAAGACCAGGCCTAATTTGCGAGGCGCGCCCTTATTACAAGATGGATGGTTCGCGGTGCTGGTACTATTATTTGCAAAGGGAAGAGTAACGGGCATGGCTGAGAATTGGTCACGGACGTCATCATTAAGGCTGAGGGTTACTTACTGTCTATTTTCGGGACGCAAGATCGTCGGCATCCAGGCGTGAGACAACACATGGTAGTAGGTGCTCCACAGTCTGCGTCAAGCGAACACGTTAGGGCAACGTCCTTGCATGATTCTGGTTGGGTTGGAGGACATTTACCATACCGACCTGAAATACAAAATCCCATCAACTTGACATCAAAACTGAAATACTGTTCACTGCCACAAATCCTCCACGAAACGCAAAGAAGAGGCTTTGTTGACTTCCTCTTCTTCTACCTTAAAGACTTTTTTGATTTTATCTCTGGTGGACTACCTGTTCGGGGAAAGTGCCACCGGACGGAAAGTGCCGTCGAGTCTTCTTCACCCTTTCCCTTTTTTATTGACACAGGGGCTCCGAAAGAATATCGAGAAAGAATTAGAAAGGCCTTTAGAGGCTAGTGCTAGCCCTCGTCAATCAAAGATGCCTTTATATCTAAGAAACATGATGTTCTTTTCGTATTTGAGGAAACTGTATGGTAATGACCTACAGCACGTACTCGGTACATGCCGTATCATTGAAATGGCTTCCTTTTTTGTCAATTCACCCAATCACGACGCTTAGTCACAGCTACGGTAGTGACCTACAGCACGTACACGGTACATGCCGTAACATTGAAATGACTTCCTTTTTTGTCAATTCACCCAATCACGACGCTAAGTCACAGCTACAGTAGTGACCTACAGCACGTACACGGTACATGCCGTAACATTTGAATGGCTTCCTATYGTTGTCCAGTAATTCATCCATTCACGAAGCGCATAGTCACGGCCACGGTAAGCTAGTACGGCTAAAATATACAACTATATAAAATATAAAAACTACAACTACGTGTTTTTTGCAATGTTTTCTACTTCTACTAAAACTTCTCTATTGAAAAGCTAACTAAAAAACAACTGTTTACCTCGACAAATAGTTTCCTTGATGTTATACACATTGCCATCCAAATCTCCAATGGTATCCCCAAACAAGAACTTAACGGATGGTTTCGATGCGACGTTCGAGTAGTCGACCAGTTTTCCAGCTTCGCTGAGCCCCAGCAGCACAACTTTGACTCCCATCTTCTTCAAATTATTTGCTGCTGCTAGAATGTTATCTAACGACGAGGATGGTTGCCGTGGTACAACGATCACTAAGGTCTTGGGCACAGTTTGACGGACACCCCCGAAGATCGTGAAGCCGTGATCCTTTGCGCGTTTGAATGCTGCTTCCACGTTGAAACCATTTCCAGATGGTTGGATGCTGTTGATGTATTGGACTAAGCCTTTGCGCGTGTAGATTTGGTCGAGTCTACGGGTCACGGCGGCGTCGTTGCTGTACTGTATGATCCCAAAGTGGGCCACCCGATTAGAGACGATGAAAAACTTGAGTAGGCTATTAAAGACGTTTTTGATTTTGCTGAAGTCGCCTCCGAGTGATGTCGCAGTTGGTATTGCGAAGTAGACATCTTGAGGTAGATTACAAGCTTCAAATAAAAAATGGATTGAAAAAAGGTTAGAAATCGTAATAAAGCATCGTAGTGTTGACTCAACAATTGATTGGTCTTCTATTACCACATTCCCATGCTTTTTCTTTGAAACTACATAACTTTGTTCCTTTGTTCCTTAGTTTATTTTTCCTTACAACTGATGATGAACGTTCTGTCGAAACATGCCTTCGAAATTCAAAAGTGTAGCATTCTTTATCAAATCCTTATCATTAGTCTCACATTGCGGAAMGCTTGGTTTAATATTATGATACAAACGCAGGTAAAACATCATTTATTCAATTAATTTATTCGTTTGTCTATCTGCTTGAGCTTTTTGACCTCTCCCATATTCTTCATATTATTCTTCATTCAGACAAGCTGATGAACTCCCAAAYATCCAAAACTTTAAATAAGAATGGCCCTTCTTTTTAATATATCTTTTTGTTGCCGAGATATTCAAATTAGAAATCACGAAATGATGACGTCAACCCAGGATCCTTGTAAAAAGTCAAATCATCAAATAGAGAATATCTCTGTGAGAATTAGCTCAAAATGACTGAAGCTTTTGGTGAGCATAGCGCATTATAACCAACACAGAATGCTTTGAATCCAGGAAGAGATCCTGTAGGCTTGATAGGCACCTTTAAATTAATGACAACAATGAATAAAAAAAAAGCTTACGTCGTAGTTTTTGAGCGCCATCGCAGACAGCCTTGGTAAGAGCACGAAGGTGTGGTTTCAAAGCGTCAAACGACGTTGTCATGAAGGCGTTATTTTCGATTTTCTTTGACACGATGTTTCTAATTGCAGCAATGTCACCCTGACCACCGACCGGCACAGCAAACACGTCCACTTGAGACTGTTTCAGCTGGCTCGCTAATAAGGCAGCTTTCTTGGCATCTTGAAACTTGCCTGAGCCTATGATAACGAGGGACTTAAAAAACATAAAGTCATTCTTAGTCAATAATAACATTCAGAGAAAACATATCTTGACCCGCCGACCGAYCCAAAGACCATGGGGGGCTTACCATTTTAGTCCATCCATCTGGTTGGAAATTCGTTTGCTAATGGTAAAAAAAGAGCGGGAAACTTTTTCTTCCAAAAAAAAATGGTACTCACGTCTACCGGAAGAACCGCAAAGAGCGGGAAAAGTGGATTACCTCAATTAGAAGACCGAGTTTTCCGGCCGAAATTTACGATTGGAAATACACATATCATTTGTTTTCCAACCGGAATTTCCAGTTTTCCGGGGTAAGTGGCAAGCACCCCGCGCCGGGTAAGGGACGGATGGACGGACGGACGGACGGACGGACGGACGGACGGACTTAATGACTGAATCATCAATACCCGTCCAAGTTTCGCATTCGACGCATACCGCTTTTTTTGAAGACCAGACTCATTTGCAAAGGCTTAGCCTCGTTTATAAGCCAACTATTCACAGATACCATTAGACATTTCAAACCATTGGTGTTATTTACTTCGTATATTCTTTCCATTGAATAAACTTTCTTTTGRTAATCTTTCCATTAACTTTTGCAAATTATTTGCTCTTAAACAAGGCTAAATCTGTACAAATGAGTAGAACACAGCGGTATTTAAAGAGTGAGAAGAGGGACTATAATATAGCTTATAATGCACAATCGACTAAATTACTCAATTCTGATTAGAAAAGAAGTATACAATTAGTTCCCATATAATACACTCTACAAAATCACTCGATTCTGATTGGACGAGAGGAGTACAACTAAATCCAAAATTGTACTCTGTAGAGTCCCAATTAAGTTGCTCAATTTTGTTCAGTGTTTCATAAACAAAAAATCACTGATCTTCTCGTACAATTCGGAATTTATAGATACCCGCCTAAAGGCTCGTCCAATTTTGAAAACCTTCAATACATTACTCGTACCTATATATTCCGATTTGTAACCGAGTTCGTGCGATTTTCTATACAAATTCGATGTGTACTCTGTATAGTCCCAGTTAAGTTTTATGCTTAATTTTGTTGGGTGTTTTATAAATAAAAAATCGCACGATCTTCCCGTTACTTCGGAAATGATAGATACTCGTAATGTTTTGAAAGTTCTCATATTGGACTCGCCTAAACTAGCTCGTCCTATACAAACGAATAAGAAGAAAGCTCAAACACAATAGAAAAGAAGTTTGTAACTATTTYGTATAGTTACTTTAGTATAGTTTTATCGTTTTTGGTTTTTCAACAAAACTAAAAAAAACAACCCTGTCCACACTAATCGTTAGTCACTATCACTTAATCAATTGTATACCTTATTACTGCGCTCACGTACTCCACCACTCTCAGTATAAATCGTATCTACGGCTTTCTGGAGACCGGCGCTAACTCCTGCTCCAGGTCCCGATTGGAACCTAACTTCATCAATTGCATTGAAGACCATTCTCTTAGTAGCGCCAGGGATTGAGTTAAAATTAAACTCAACTTTGGCCGCGTCACCATAGGTAACGAGTGCAACGTGGCTACCAAAATTGCTAATAATGAAAGCGTTAACGAGATCTTTAGCAAACGTCTTCATCTTCTCGAAGTTTTCTGAACCAACATCGTCCGAATTCTCCAGCAAGAAGGTCAAGTCGTACTGGCCTCGACATTCTGAAGATGTAAAAAGCAACACCGTTCATATGGAGAAAGAAGAAAGAGCAAGTGTCCGTATTACCATGTAAAAGTGAATGCATATCACTGGGGCCAAAACAAGTGTCCGTATTACCAGGGTGTTCGTAGTAAGCAGGTCAGTGTAAGAGTGAGTGCTCTTCACTGGGACAAAACAAGTGTCCGTATTACAAGGGTGTTCGTAGTAAGTAGGTCAGTGTAAGAGTGAGTG